GGATAAGATCCAGTCAAATGGAAAAAGAGACAATCATGTTTCATAAAACACAGTTTAAAGGAATGCAAGAAATTTTAGGTGAATTAAAAAAACATTTAATAAACAACTAAATCAGCAAAACATATGTCAGAGGACACGATGGTTTTGCTGTTTGCTTTGTGATGACTTGTATTTTTAATTTTGTTTTTACTGTATTTTCTTTATACAGTATATATTCTTTGCCCAATTGTTATCTGAAATACTGTATTTATGTGGAATTTGTACAGTATATTTTTATTTATTTACCAGTTATCTCTAAAATGTGGATGTGTTAATGGTTTGTTTGATAAACTATATTATGGAAATTTATGTTTTTTGTTTTGTTTTGTTTAAATATATGTATGTCAGACAGGCCAAATATGTGTTTGTTCCTTAAAAATATGTTTTTTGTCTCCGGAAATGATTTCAAGTGTCATAGTTTTTGTCTTGTTCTTTTCTAAATTAGTGCCTTTCCCCCCTTTTTGGCTTTTATTCATTCTTGCTTGAGTTTACATCTCAGTTAAGATCTTATTCTTAACTGAGTTAAGAAATTCTAAGATACAAGCATTAAGATATTCCTCAGTATTCWTCAATTTCAACATTCTAAAAATAATCCCATCATGATTTTAGACATTAGAGCAAAACTGAAATCTGAACTTTAAAAGTTTTCAAATGTTATTTAACTATAAGTGAAAGAAACACATTGATTGGAAAGGCTTTAAAAAGCTTTATTTGTCTTAAAAATTATCCTCTTTAACTCCGTTAATCATAAAAAGCATCTATGTGCAATATTTCTGCAGCAGTTCTGTTTATTAAACACTTTCATGTAAACAAATTCAAAGTATTTAACCTTAAATGGAAATTGTGCCTTTTAAAATGGGGCTCAATGGAAAAGTTATAAGCAATATCTTACCTGCTGCAGATAGCACTTTTCACAGGACTGATGAGCTGATGGCTATTCAAACATTGGTGAGATTCCTGCCATCTTTAAAGAACTTGTCTCAAAAATGTCGCTTTMGTTCAGGTCACTTTTTAAACCTTTACATTTCTGCCATTTTTAAATTGCGGTTATGTTTAGCAAAAAGGTTGCTGTTCCAGCTAGCTGTGCCTCAGGCTCAGAGTTGTAAAGTAACAAAGTACAAATACTTTGCTACTGTACTTAAGTAGAAATTTTGGTTATCTGTACTTTACTTGAGTAATTATTTTTCAGTGTACTTTTTACTTTTACTCATCACATTTTTACACAATTATCTGTACTTTCTACTCACTACAT